TCCCCAGCTCTTGTTTGTGGTGTTTGATGACACTGGCAGTGCCGGAGTGGCCCAGCGCGCCGCGGTCAGGACTGTGTGGGGGTCCGTCATTTCACAGAATCGGTGAGGTTGAAAGGGACCTTTGGAGACCACCCAGTCCAGCCCTGCTGCAGGGTCACCTGGAGCAGGTTACCCAGGAACGCGTCCACGTTGTTTTGGAATGTCTCCAGGGAGGGAGATTTCACGACCTCTCCAGGCAGCCTGTTCCAGTGCCCTGCCACCCTCAACGTAAAGTCCGAACTCATGTTAAAGTTTTAACGTGTTTTAGTTTTAGTTTACAGCCATTACTCCTTGTCAGTGGGCTCCACTGAAAAGATTGTGGCAGCATCCACTTGGCACCCATATTTATGAGTTTTGAGGACAGCCCTTTTGAGCCCGGAGGGCAGAGGACGCTTGGGGCGCTGCCCTGTGGCACGGAATTCTCGCAACATTCTGTGTCATCTGCGGTCTCTGAGCTAAGTCAGACACATGGGGAGTTTTAGAGGAATGGCTTTACTTGTTCAGCTCTCCAGGCTGGCAGAGGGGGCTTCTCAGGGGAAATGTATATTTTAGAAACAAAGTATTAGGTAGTATCAAACTAAAAAAGTCCCTTAGTGTTACTGGAGTATTGCGTCAAGGCCTCCTGACTATTGATAACTTATCCTGTATCCTTTGCTGTCTGTTACACACTTTAGGATTCCAAAGCTGATTACTTGTCTGCTAGGAAACAGAAGAGCCGCAAACTCCCTTTTCATGTAAGTTGTGACCGTTTTCACAAGGGTATTTTTACACTTATTTTAATTTAAATTTTTTATAATTGATAAAAAAATCTGCAGTTTTATGTTGAGGTATTTATATATTAAAGCATTTCTTGTTCCATTTTCAGAGGAAACTTTAAAATAAAGTTTTAGAAGACAAAATTCTGCTTGCTGTTCAGGTAAAAAACCCCTTATAACCAAGATCTTGAAATGCTGTGTGACATCACTGTAGTTTTGTTTTTAGAACAAACTGAAAACCCTGGTCATTTTGGAATATTTAATATAATTGTGGGTGTTTTTTTAAATGAATATGCAGAAAACCATGTAAGTAAAATCACTTTTGCAGGCCAATGAATTGCTTAGTATTAATACCTGTTGCTTTTAAATTAATGATACTCTACTGTTTCCATAATAAGCTTATGTGAATTAAGGAAAAACATAGCTGCTTCTAATGGTCTGGGGTGTAATTGATACAAAAATATGTCCTGATTTGACCAACAAAATATATTAAGATAACTGAAATTAAAATTGATGTCAAGTCTCTGAATAGCCACTTTAATCCAAAACTGCCTTCAAGGTTTTTTGGTTTGGTTTTTGGTTTTTTGGTTTTTTTTTGTGATCTGACGCTTCCTTTTTCCTGTACAGACTCTTTTTATTAAAATACTGAATATTCATTTTAAATGGCAAAAAAATTAAAGCTGGAATAATACCTCAGATTTTTTCATGTATTTGGATCTTTTCTGCTTACAAAAATATTTTCATCATGAGCTATGGAAAGGATTTTGTGGAAACTCTTAAAAAAATGGGATATCCAAAGGCTGATGAGCTTAATGGAGAAGATTTTGACTGGATGTTTGAGTCTCCAGAAGACAAATCAATTTTGGAGTGGTTTTGTGGAAACATAAATGTGCAGAATGTGGTATCTGAAGAAGAACTGCAAGATTTTGATAATCTTCTCCAGCAAGGTAGGGCTGTTTTGGAAGGAGATGCACTGGATGAAGTCCTTAAAACCTTGGAGCCCACAGGTTCGATGAACAGCAGCCAAGAGGAGGACGAGGAGGAAGTGAAGAAATTAGAGGATGAACTTCAGACTCTTCAGAAGTTAAAAACCCTTCAAATTCATCGGCATAATAAGCTCCAGCAGTTGATTGCTACAAACAGCCACCTGTTACAGACGTTCCAAGGCAGAGAGGAAGAAGCACGGAAGGAATGGAAAGAAGGACTGGAAGTGTTTACTGCAGCAAATAATAAGCTTGACAATGAACTGCAGTCTCTTATAGCTGCAGTGAAGGAATTTGCCTCTTTCTTCACTGCTTCAGGTTCAGAACAAGGGTCAGATGCACATGCACTGTTTTTTTCCCAAATTTCTTTGGACAGATATTTGTCTGTGGAAGAACAAAGCACTGCAGCACTTACTTCACACTTAAAAAAGCTTTTTTATGAAGGTATGCCTAAATGTGCTGAAAATTCACATGCAGACATCTTTCAACTTGAAGATTTAATCAAGCAAGTCCCTTTTGATGAGGCCAATGAAATGTGTGAAGAGAGGCAAGAGATAGCCAGGCTCCAGGCAGCATATATTTGTGCTCAGCACCAGCTCATTCAGCTGCAGGCTGAAGAGGAGGGCATGAATTCAGCTATCAAGTGTGCAGAGAGCCTGCTGCAGCCCTTGGGCAAGGTAAGGTCAAAAGGTGACGGAAGGTGCTGGAGTTTTAAACAGACAGGCCAGTTCCACTGGGTCTAGTGAAAGGAATTGCTGAGTTACTGCTATTTCAATCATTTTTATGTAGTGAAATTGCACTTCTGTGAAGTTTTAGTCTTGCTCACAAAACTGCTCTTGTGAAATATCTTTAGTTTCCATAGTTAGAAGTTCTTCAGTGTGGTAGAGTACCTTTAATTCTACTTTTCAGCATTACTACCTTTAAAATCCTAGAATCTATAGTACCTTTCTAGATTAGAGTTTAACTTTGAATTTTCAAATTAGAACTGGCTCTTTGTACAGTAAACAGAATCTTAGCTTTGGTTGCAGTTTTGTGGTATCAGGGAGCCAATATGGTAAATGTATTCCTGTCTATATTGCTTAGCATAAGCTTATAAAGTTTTAGTTCACTCTCTCTGGCAACTCGAGTATTTGTACCAAATAAATAGATCTGAGAGTTGAAGCTCCAGAAGTCTTTCAACAAGTGAGTGACAGGCAGATGTGGTTAGTGGAGTTTGTGAAGAAATCCTAATAAAAGGAAAAGTGTTTGCTTATGCCAGGCATGGAATAACTTAAGGCATCATGTCAGTTTGTATATTTTCATTTATGGATGACTAGTATACAGGACTTGATTGATTAGGGTGATTTGGAAAAGATTGATTTTGCCAGCAGTGTTGATATCTGACTGAGTATAAAAAATTGTTTGCTTGTGAGATTTCAGTTAGGCATGCTTGAAACAGGTGCAAAGTAAAATGCAGCTCTTTTGTTTTTAACACAATAAACTGATTCCTGACCCTGTGATAAAAAGAAATTATATTTATTATCTACTTTGTTCATCTGTATTTGCATTATTTTGTAAAATTCTGTAAAACTACTTGTGGAGTTTTCATTTAATTTTGTAGCTAAATGTAACATAAGTACATGAATTTTATATGAACTGAGGAAATGTTTGGGATGTGGCTTGGCAGGAACCATGAAGAAATTCACAAATATTTTGTTTTATGCAGGACACTGGACAACAGGAAAATATTGATGCTAAAACATCTAGTTTAAATGCTGAAATTTCAGCAATTAAACAAGATATAGCTCAGATAAATAATGAAGAGCTGCTTCCCCTTCTTAAGAAGAAAGCACAACTTCTGAGTGCACCAGTGCTGAAAGAATACTTAGATCACCAAATTGCTCAGCTGGACTGGTATGCTGCAATTCAAGCTAAAATAGGCAGGCATTTGGTGAGACAGAAAACATCATTTGAACTTATTCAGCTGGCCTGTGAAATGGAAATGAAGAAACACCAGGAGTTCAGCTGCCAGCTTGAGAACTTGGTAGAATCTCTGAACCAAAGCACTGATGAGTTAGAGCAGAGACTGCAGGCGATCGCTGAACAGAGTGAGCAGGCAAAGCCAAGGAGCACTATTGGCCCAGAGGATGGTTTGGCTTGCAGGTAAGTGTTATAGTCACTGTTGGACTTGCTTTGAAATAATACTGAGGAGATGAAGGCTCAGGCAAGGGAAGCCTTGCCTGCTGCTAAGTTCTTACTTGCTGGCTGTAGCTAATTAGAAATTTGAATTTTCAAGAACTGAAACTTTCAACATGTGAAACTTGTTTCTTCCATGTCCTTTGAAATTCTTTGCAGGTTTGCCTGAGGAAAAACTGTTCAATTATCAGTCTTTTTAATATTACTGAAGCATTCCTCATTAATATCCATAGCATGAAGAATGTTTAGACCCAGGCCTGTCTTATCTAGCACCTCCTGATACTCTAGAGATACAGATGTTAACAGCAGTGATTTCCTAGGCTGTGTGCATGGCCGGCAAAACCCCCCCGTGTGGTAGGAGAGAGGAATGACTCCTCCGGACTGTGGCATGAGTTCAGCTCGTTTTTACTGCTTGATTTGCCATCTGGTTTGAGTGCCCTGGTGCCCATGTAGGAGTCTGGTTTTTCACCATCAAAATAATTAAGTCTTCTCAAAGTTCAGGTGATACAGTTAATGGTGTGTGCAGTGCTGCTCTTCCATCAAGACTAAACCTTTTGATGTGATATATTGCATAATTATAGGTGTGTTACTGTCAGACTTTTCCTCCTTCTTTAGAATGGTGCTTTAAGTGTTTGGTTTTTTTTCAATACTTGGTAAGTAATAGCTAGATGTGGTTAGGCACAGTAAATAACTGGAAGAATTAGGCAGCATTAATTTTACTCCTATTGTGTGTTTGTGTTAGCTTGTTACACTTTTGTTCAGGTTTGTTATAAAGTCTCCAAATCACTGAATGCTTCTGGCTACTTTTGTTTTTTGTAGATGAAGGGCAGGCAAGTTGAAAGATTTAAAAACCTTATGGGCTTTGTAAATAGAAGACACTTGAAAGACATTCAGTTACTTCTGAAACGTAGCTCCTTCTCTTAATAAAGCCAGTGTGATTTTATATCGGGCATCAGCTCCTGAAGATTTTGTTCTGCAGAGGTGGTAGTAACATTTGGACTATGTAAACTTGTCTGTATACTGAGCCCATTCCTGATGCAGTGTAAGGGTACACTCTGCTGTAGTGTGCAATTCTGTCTTTTGCATGACTTATAACTAATTGGAGAATTTCTTAGCAGTCTCTTCATAGAGAGATAGAAAACAGGAAATACTTCAGTAAGCTTGAAAATGTTACAGAGATTGTTTTTCTTTCTCATTGGCTGTTGAAGTCTGCTTTCATTCAGCACTTAAAAAAATCCATCTTATTTTGCAGCTCTTGAAGTGTCAGGAAATAGTTGGCAAAAGCACACTGTCAACTGCTATTTGCATTCAAGATGTACTTACTAACTGTTACTTTAATATTTCATTGCTGCTAATTTGATATTGAAATATTTTGGATTCCTATTAATCACTGCTATATATAGATGGAATCCTGAAATCAGTGGGAGACAAAGTAGTGTTGTAAAAGCGCCCTCAGCAGAACCTACCTTACTCATCCTCTGGCTTCTCAACACAGACACGTTCTCTTAACTAATGATGATAGAGTGCTTAGGAAAGTTAAAATATTTGTGTGTCTAACTTCACTTGTTGCAGGCTGTATCAGCTCCTGGAAGGAGGAAGTAAAAAACAACAGTTGTTTAAGACATACAAAAGCCTGGAGCAGATGGCTCAGAAGTTAAAGCAGGACTGTGCCACAGTAGAAGATCAGCTGGCAGCATCTGCTCGGGAGCAGTCTCTCCTTTTGGCCAGCCTGGAGGGGAATGTGGATGCCCTTCGTGCTGCTCTCTATTGTGGGACGAATCAGATCCGGCTCCGGAGCCCAGTAAGCCCTTAAGGATTGTTTTCAAATTATTGCGTTGTTTGTCATGTTCTTTTACTGATAAAAGTGTAGTGTGAAGGCTCTAGACATGCAGACTGTCCCCACTAATTAGCAACAAATTTATTAACATAATGATGATGGATGCTGAACATTTACATTGTTCTTGGCTAATGTTGGATTTTTATAAATGCTGGCAGGTAATAATTTTTTGGTTTCTGAGCAAACAGTTGCATCTAACTGAATTTCTTTCAGAGGCTTGTGCAGTCCTGTATTCCTGTAAGTCTGTGGTGTGGGGGATCCTTTGTCTGGGTAGGGTGTCGCTGGAAAACTCATTTAAATAGCTTTTCATTTCATATGGGCTCTCTGCCCTGTTACCTCTAAGACCCCAATAGTATGGTTTGGCCCCTTAAAAGCCTGGCCATGGCTGGGTCATTTGGACAAAATAAAAATGCCAGAATTTTAAAAGACAGCTGTAGTAGGACAATCCTGCTACACAGCTCTCAGGTATTATGCTTAGAACATCTTTTAAATGGGAACAGGATTTGTTAAATGCACCTTGTTAGGGTTTTTAAATAGTTGTAGATACCTCAAAAATGCATCAAGGGAAATCTTCTGTTACGTAATACTTTCTTGGTTAATTACATAAAAATATATTTAACATTCATCTGTCAAATGAATTTACAGCATATAGAACAGTTTTTATTTAAAAATGAGACTCTAATTGGAACAGTATGTATTTAGGGATTGCACGTTATTAAATAAAATACCTTCCTATTGATTTAAGTTACTTCTTAAAATCTGGCATCTACTGCTACTGTTTCTCAAGGAAGGTAATTCCTTTAATAAGGGAATAATGTGCAAGTAGATGATTAGTCTGCTTATACTGAGCTATAACAAGAATGCCAGCTGGGAAGGTTGTAGCTGGTATTTAATGATTTAATTGTAAGATTGATTTGGATTTTTTGTTGTGCTTTTTTTTTCTTTGTTCCCTTTTAAGACTTGACTAGCAGTGAAGACTTGTAATTGATAGAAAATGTCATTCAGTCATGTGTCTAGGTCAGGTTCAGATTTTTATGGTCTTAACTCATCTGGTCCACAAGTAAATGAAATTACATTGGCATAATATGATAATATGAGTTCTGTTACATGGAGCTCAAAAATTATATACATTGAATGGAATCCCTTATTATCTTTGTTTCTGTTTTTTGTTATTATTTTTTGATTACAAATTAATGGCTTCTCAAAGCAAAAAATCTTTCATGTTTTTAGTTCAGCTAATATATTAACAATAGAAAAGTAATACATTTTTGTCTTCTGTTTTTTGTTAGGAACTTACTGAGCAGTTTCACCAACTGGAAGTGCGTTTAGATGAACTAAGTCGTCTCCTTAAGGATCTGGCTGCAGATCTGAAGTCAAAGAGAAGCTTTTTAGAGTCCAATAGGCTGCTTCAGATGGAAAGAGACTTGTATGTGCATTTTTTCAAAGATGAAGAGCAGTTCAAAGAGATGGTGGAGAGACTTGAGCAGCAGTCTCAGGCTAAAGCCAGTGGTCTGGAAGATGAGAATTTCACAACCAGTGCAGTTCTTAATGTCTAAACAGCAATGTACTCTTAAGGAAGGAAAATGTTAATGTAAACTGTCTACAAGGTTATGGAATAATAAGCATTAGCTTGTCATGGCTGGCACCTGTCACTGCAGTGCTGAGATTGTGTGCTACTCTATGGCTTCTTCTGCCCCCTGAATTCAATCTCAGTTTTGTCAGAACTCTTGGACATGAAATCATTGTTGGTTATTTGAAAGAAGTATGTTCAGCTGCTCTTCTGCTGGCCTGTGTGCTCATTTCTGCTGCACACAGCAGAGCTTCAATAGGAACGTGAACCCTTGAGTCTTTTTGCTTGCTAAGAACTTTTTGAACTGCGAAATGAATGTGGAGAAGGCATTCCAGATTTTGGAGCAAGGATGTAATGTGCTCATAGTGAAGAGGAGAGTTCTCAAAGGCAGCAGATATTTCATGATTGTTTCCCCTACAGTTCTTCTAAGAAGACTTGATTTTGTTAGAAATGTGTTGGAATATGTACCAGAATCTGTTTTAACTACCAAGACCATCTCTTTTAAGACCATTCCAATATCTCTTAATTTAACTTATGGCCTATCTTCTCCATTGAAACCAGTCTATACTTATTGTGGCTTGGCAATGAACAAGAATTTAAAATTTATCTTTTGTACTTCTGAGTTTGCCTTATAATTTATAATGATAGGCATTTCAATTCAGAGTGCTGATGCTTTCATACTTGTGCTTTCATGTGCATTGTTAGCCCGTTTATAAAATTTGTATATAGCTTCCTAATGTACCAATGGAACTAAATAAGCTTTTATAGTATGATAACTTCCAGTCTTTTTTATTTTGATGGGATCTGCTGTTCTTGCTTTCAAGCACTGTACATATTGATGAAGGTTAGTATATTTGTTTAAATTCAATAACAGTAGTCTTAAAACTCTTTTGATGGCACTCCTTTAACTTCTATGTGATTATAACTTATTTTTAAATGCGTAATTTTTTTTAACTTACTGGTTGGGTGTCTATGTCTGGATTTCATGCTGCTTAACTCTATACTTTGTGTATATTATTAAATGCCAAACTCTGTCAATTCACTTCAGTGTGGTTAATATTTATGGTGAATCTATGTGAGTTTTCTAGGCCTGTTCTCAAGCATGGTGTCTTGTTTGTATTTAGTGTGATGGGTTCTCATTTTGATCTGCCCCTGAGGCTGGGACTGCTGCTTCCCAGCTTGGGAAGGCAGGGAGCACTTTAACCCTGTGTGGGAAAGGAGTTTTGTTCTTAGGCATAGAAGTTAGGAGGAGTTGAGTGCAGGGAAGGGTTGTGCTTCTGACTCCTGCAATGTCAGGGAAAACAAAGCCATTCCACTTCTCACCCTTTCCTTCACATGCTTCTCATTAGAACTAGATGGATATGGCCAGTGCTAATGCAGTGATGGATGTTCCTCTGAATTAGATGCAAATGTTTGCACTTTTAAGTATTAAAAATTGCAAGGTACCTGTGGTCTTGAGCCAAGCAAAATATTTCCATGTAGGCAGAGGAATTGTTTGCTGATGGTGGAGTTTGACAGTCTGCTCATGCACTGGGTCTAGTGGGAGAGGACCAGAGTAACAGCACTCCAGCTACCCACTTGTACAGGAATAATTGAGTCAACAGCAGGTTTTGCTAGAGTGGTTGATTTGTACAGCTTGGATCCTTGAAGCATTTTTTAAAGTGTTGGATATTTCTTTTGTGTTTGTGATAAGTTTTACATGTTCTTCTGGTCTAACTGTAAAACAACAGGAAGTCATCACTGTTACTTGTGATTCTCCAGAGTGTGGTGTACCTAGGGGTTCTCCCAAGCATTTTGTAGGTATTATAGAATATGGACAGGTCAGCTAGAAAACCAGCTCCTTTTCAGAAAAGGATAACAAGTTACAACAACAGTAGCTGGGGTCAAAGCTTGTAGGGACTATAAATGTTACTGACCAGTTCTTTAAATTAACAAGCTATAGTAGCTATTTTCAAGTTACTAATATGTGGAAGTATTTGAATGCATCAATTATACAAAATTTTTAAAAGTAGAGGTCTTTTATGATAAATATTTTCTGAAACAGCACATAACTAATGGCTGTATATTGTGATAGTATTGCTTGTTTCTTTAATCTTGTGTTGGCTTAATTTTGGCAATTACTTGAAAGTTAACTATGTCTTTCCTGATAAAATCCAAGCACTAGTAACAGTAAATGTATCCATGTGCTAGATACAGACTACTTTAAAGATGCTGGGAGGGGGAGAGTATCTCAGACATACTTCTTATTTTATTTGTCAGATTTTATTTTCTTTCAGTACAAGTTGGCTGTACTTAGCACTGCTGATTTTTTTGGTTGGGGTATTAAAACACTATTTCAAAGAAGTTTGTTTTTATAAATTATTATATTTTTATTTCCTATACAGTACTGATAGGCATGTCTGGCAGCAAATGTAATTTTCCACTGAGAATGAATGGCTAAGCATGTTCATTATATTTTGTTTTTAATTTCAACAGAATGTAAGTGAAGATTACTCATGGCCCTGATTGATTTATAATTTGTGTGTTCTGTGTTTAGGTTTAACCTTAGAAATGGAGCAGTACATAGGATGTGAGATTTCTAAAGTGCCTTTATCTAATATTGCTCAGAGGATTATGACAGCTTTGCAGTCTATTCCTGTAGAAGTTCAGACTAACAGAGAAAATAACCAGAGTGAGTAAAACTTACCCTGATTTTTTTCTGTTGAAAAGTTAAAACACAACAGTATCAAACCTTTAGTCCCTGTTTTTAAATAAAGAAAAAGAAAATGTTTCGGTTTACAGGTTTAGAAAAGGAATTAAGCTGTTACTGTGAGACTTGCTGTGACTTTTCAAATTCAGTAATGTTATGTATGTGAGTGCAAGGAATGGTACCACCAATTTAATTTTTTCTCTTTCTGTTCCTCCTATGTGGTACAGAATTATATGGGAATTTCAGACTGTTCCTTAAGTACTGCAGTGTAGTAAATTAGATGCATACATTAACTTGGCTCTGGACTAGATATTCAAGGATCACTGGAGGTACTAGGAACTTAACAGGAGACCTGTGAGCTCTCCAGACTCATGTCTGTCCTTAAAACACGTGTTCATTAGCACTGTGCTCCTTGTGAAATTCTAGGGGGAAGAGTGAACCAAAGTCCCTGTGAAAGAACAAATTAGGCAATGTTACCTCAGCAGTTCCAGAATATTGTGGGCACTAAGGAGGTTTTGCAAGGTGCAGGTTTTATTCTCAGTTCTGTGCAAATCACAGGCAGTCAAATTGTGGCTCTGGAAAGAAGTAGAAAGTTAAGAGTTTTGCTTGATTTCAGTTGTCTGTTTCCTCCTGAGAGTTAAATCCTGGAATATTTGGTCAATGGGCTTTAAATCTGATATTTATTCCTGTGTATATTGTGGTTTTTGCAGCCACTGTTGTATATTAATTGTGGTTCAGGCTCCTCTTTCAGTAAAGTATTGGATCAGTGGAGCCTGGTGGTGAAGCAGTGACAAAGGTAATAGTTCATCACTGTGTAAATCACTGATACACATTCAAAGAAATGTGGGATGAGTTAATTTTAAAATGCTACATTGTATGGTACATTTGGGACCAAAACCCAGATGATTTTAAAGAAAGTTTGATTTCTTTTGAGCCTCAGTTTGATATTTTACTTCTCTTGCAATCTTGTCATTGCCTACACCTACATACATTATATATATATATATATATACGTACATACATATACATATTGCTTTAGTGTGGGTCTGTAAAAAGTTTACCTCTCTTAAAAAACCAAAAACAACTGCAAACCTCTGATGTTAGTGATCTGTTTCAGACTGCATTGAACTGTATTTCATAGAGAGATTTTTAAATTTTTAACTCTACTTAATGGAAAAAATGTTTGTCTTTAGAAGGTGAATATTGGGCTCAAATAGAAAAAGTATCTGCACTGTTGATCTAGTTGGTGAAATTCTGTGGTTATCCTGGCAGTGGAGCTCCAATCTTTTCATCAAGCCTTGAGGAGTTGGAGGCAGGGATAGGTTTCTGCTGCCATCTGCTGATACTTTGCCATAATTCAGAAACTGGAAGTTGCAGATCTCTTCAGTACCTGTCATACTGACTGTTGGGTGCTGGAGCAGAGAAATGTAATCCTCATCATCTTCTCTGGGGATTGGATTTGTCAAGGAAAAGTGTCTAACTGTAAAACAATTATAAGCACTGAATGTAAACTCAGATACTATAATTCTTCATTTATTATCTCATTGTAGAAAGTGTTGAGAAAACAAAGGTAAAATGTTTGAAGCTACAAACACAGCTGTGCCATTTTGGCCGTTCTAACAGCTTAGGTTAGAAGTTTGAGCTGGAGCTCAGTGTCTGATTATACACTTACACCAACATGCATAAATAAGCTTATTTTCTTCAGTAGACAAAGGTCTTGATTTGGCCAGACAAGTGTTTTTAAGAACAGTTCTAGTAAATTGAAATAGGTGACCTTCTGCTTTTTTTGATATTTGTGAACACCATTGTTGTTTCAGAGAGTACCTTGCTGCTGGTAATGCCAATTCATAGCTGACAGCAGCAGTTTGGTGTTGTACCCAGTATGGGCAGACAAAACACATACTCTGCCTGTGAGGTGTCTTTTGGCTGGGCAATAAGATAATTGAGACATAAAGGAATCCTAACTGCAAACTCTGGGGAGACCTGCACTTGAGGGGAGTTCTCTTTTTCCCTGATCCTCTTTCTGTGCCCACTGAGGTAATTCCTGCTAGCCTGTTACCCCTGGCTCCTTCCTTCCAGCCTTCCCTTGCTTCTCCTTTTCTTGGGACTTGTGGCCAGTGTTAAGGCAGAAAAGAAAACGCATGTCCTAATGGTGTCACTTGCCATGCCTGTTCTGTTGCAAGATGAGCAATGTGAAAAAATTATCCCCTGCAGTTGAAACATGATTAGTTTGTTAAACACGATGTGCTAAACTCACATAATGCTTTATAGAACAAAAGTTTCGTGGAATACTGCTGCTGAATTCCAAGAAAACAGTTCAGCTGTGTGAAGTTTCTAGAGTTTGGATTTTTTTTTCCTTCGTGTTCATACCCCCAGCTTTACTATGAACAAAATGAGTTGTGTTTCCTTGAAGAGGGAAATTCACATAATTATGGAATTATAGTAATGCTTCCTCTGAATACCATGGAAAAGGCTTTTCTGCTTTGTAGTGAATTTTAAATAATTTTTTTCTTAATGGTGACAGAGCAGTCTTTTGCATATGCATATTTTGGAACCTGCAGGACCCTTTTAAGAATGAATACTAACTTGATACAAACTTGTTAAATGGTTGTCAAGGGAAATGTTTTTACAATTCTTTCAGGTTTGGTAAAGTGTCAGTAAGATAACCCTGTATGAAACCTAAGGTATATGGGCTACTTGCAGATTCATTTGTATTGTAAATTGTTTCTTCTTTTTTAAAGGTATAGAGAAGACAAAGGAAAATAAACTAGATGATAAGGATGCACATCTGAGAAATGAAAAGGCAAGCATTTTGTAGAATTGAAAACTAATAAAAGCAGTCTTTTTGTAGGAGGTTTGAAGTTATACATTGGTTCTTTCATGACAAGCTTTATCATGATAGATTTTATACAGTCATAGTTCAGGTAACTTCCTCTGTCTTATTTTACACTCGGTCTGTATTTACCTTTGAGAATCTGGGCCCAACTTCTGTTCCTTTTTCACAAGAAGTTGGTCTTTTATGACAGATTGATCAGAAATGAGGTTGCCACAGACAACCACCAGAGTTTAGAAATGTTCTTAGACTCCTGTTACTGAACAATTATAAAAGTGAGCTGATTTGTATGAAAGATTATTTTGTATTAGGAACCCTTAATTTTGGGTTTAATAATTTCTCTGAATTTGGTTTGGTGTGCATGGGAGTGAGTGCCAGTGCAGGAGTGGGAACAGGTAACTGTGGCAGCCCCAGCTCAGGCTTTGCTTGTAAAATCCATTGAGTTGATTGATGAGTTGCAGATGCTGCTACTAATCCCAGCTGCAAATTTCACAACCTTCCTTACTCTGACTCTGGTGCATGTTGTACACTTCAATTCCATTCAGGTTGCTCAAGATGCAGAAAGCTGATGCCTTGAGTGGAATGAGAGAGTTTCCTACAAATTACACTCGCTCACAGGCACTCATGCAGCTGTGGGTGCACATGGATAGGAGTGGAACCCCTTTTTGTAATGATGACACTCTAATTTTGACTTGCTGCATCTAATGAGATCTTCCTACATTGACATAAATTGTGAAACTTCATCCTGGGAGTCATTTTCTCTACTTCCAGCCATGCCATTATTTCTAACAGAAGGTTAGTTCTTCACAGAAGCTGCTGTTGCTCTCTGTGGTTAATTGTAGTTCCTGCTGTATTATTCTGACTTGATAATTAAATTCCTTTGTTTATATTTTTTGAATCTTTAAAAGAGAATTGCTTATTCCTGGTTCTATAATTACTAGAGTGTCCTAATTTAAATTCTGCTGTGTTAAATGATAAAACTATTTGCAGTTTGTCTGGAGCATACACTTGAGTGAATTAGTTGTCTTTCTATGGCTCTTAAATATTTGGCCCTTCTGTGACAGGATTTTTCCCCTTCTGGTAACATTATAGTGCCCACCTTTTGGTTAGCATTGCAAAAATCCAATAATTTGTCTTCATTTGGAACATCTACTATCCATTTTGGTAGTAGCAGAAGCTGAATTAGCTTCCTTTTCCTGTTTACTTAGAGTGTTAGAATTACCCTGTAATTGTACTTTTGCTGTAGAGTAGATCCTGTGAAATATGACCTAAAGCAGTCTTAAGCCTTTTTCACCTCTTGACTCTGTACTTCTAAGGTTTGGGAATATGAGAACTGGTTTGAGGCATATTGTGAAACCATGAAAAGGCCCCAAACTTACTGGCTTTGCCATTGTGGCTTGCTCAATCAATACAGATGGGATGGAGGTGGACAGCAGCCTTTGATCAGTGAAAACTCTGCTGGGGACTGGAGGGAGCCCAGCAGGACCTGGTGGTTCCTTTGAAGGGGGGAGCTCTCAGTTTTTGCAGTGGTAATGACAGCAGATGAACTGAATGAGACTGGGCTAGAAGAGACCAAAATACAGTAATTATGAGAGATTTCAGTTTACTTTCCAGTGAAGTTGATGAATATTAACTTTAGGCATGGTGCTCCAACTGAAAATTAGGAGCCAACTGCTTTGTGGAACAGTTAGAGAACTCATGAGAAAAATTTGTTTTTATTTGATCTGTGTGAGATCAGGTCTAAAACCTTCCCTGCTGACAGGTGCTCTTACAGAGACTATAATCTTTTGGAAGCATTGAAAGATAGGTAAAAGTAATGATTAATTTTCAACAAGAAAACTATATAAAATTGAAGAAGCTTTTAAAAGAAATTATATGGAATTTTGGATAGAAGCTTTTAAAAGAAATTATATGGAATTGCCCTCCAAATCCAGAACATTTGTAGGTAGTATAGGGATTTATTCAAAGTGGAATATTGATGATTTGAAATGAATACTAAATTGTGTCTGGAAAAAGTAGTATGGCTAAGAGGCAGTATGAAGGAGACTACTAAAAAATGTCAAAAAATGTCACATCACTAAAAATTGTGACCTAAGCAGAATTTGTATTATTCTATACTTGCCTCATCTGACTAAGTTAAATGAAATATACAGTGGTATGGTTCAAAATAACTTTGAGGAAAAGCTTGCAAATGCATCACTAATACATAATATTTTCAAATGCCTCAGGAGTGGAAACTTACCAGCTCCTCTAAGGCCTATTTGTCATTGAGGCATAAAAAGTGTTGAGGGAAGATGCAAATCTGTATATCTGTAAATATTTCAACACACATTTACCTTGGGGAATCTTGGAAGGGTCACTGGTTGCCATTCCAGAGAAATAAAATCAAGGCAGAGGATCTATTTCAGCTGAGGAGCTTGTAGAAGAAACTAGCAAAGTAAGTAATAAGCACTAGTGCCAGTAGCATAGCAAGGAAATTTCTGAAGGAAATAAGGATGGAGGAGTAGAAGTCAAGCACTACCATGCAGCATCTTGCTTAATGCTGTTTGTAGCATGCTGCAGTGGAGGGATCCAGGGACTGTCTGGAGTAGGAAAAACTGTTCTGGGTATAGTGGATCAAACAGAATAGAATGTAATACTAATATTTCAATGTAATATAATAATGTAATAATAATACTTCAATGCAACTTTCTTATGTATTTTTTATGTCTTGCAATCCTGTAAGTTATTTGAAGGCATCCAGTTGATTCACATACTTGGGATTCCAAAGCAGTCAATAAAGTCCCTTCCCAAAAGTTCTATAAGAAATGAAGCTGTCATGAAAAGTGCTCTGAATGCTGAAGCTAAAGATGAAGGGTGTCTTCCCTCTTCAGACAATAATAACCTTGTCACTATGGAAGACAGGCTATTGGATTAGATGCCTCTTGTGGTTGTTAATTTGCCATTTGTAGTGTTGGACTAATAGTAGCTTAAAAAAGAAGTGGTTGTGGATGCAAATGGTGTATATCAACAAAATCTCTACTGATACATATTTGAATTTTTGTTTATGTGGCTCCCCTATACTGGCTCTGTTTTGTTAGTACCAACAGTTTTTCATAGAATTTTGCTTTATTGAAAGCTTATCTAAACTAAATTAGTGCAATTTTTAGTTTCTCCTTATAAGTCTAATAGTTGGTTTGCTAAAAATTTCTGATTTTCCCAGGAGGATTATGATTCCAGAATTGCCACATTAAAAACAACTGTCAGCCCTGAAAAAAGAACTGCTGGTCAGATAGTCAGGACAGTGCATATGGATAAAATACTTGGCTGTCAAGATACCCAAATACTGAGCTGTTACCAGGATTCAGGCTTCCCAAAATGGGAATATCAAGAAAGAAGTTTTTCAGTAGAAGAAAAAACCCTGAAGGATGGGAAAAACAAAATGGTTATTCCTCTTAAAAGAAAGCAAAATGTATCTACATCTTGTTTAGAGAAAACAAGAAAATTGCATGTAAATACCTCCATGTTGCATGAAAGAAGATACAGCTGTACTCCTGGACAAATAAAGTCTTCTGGAAAGTATCCTTGTGATATCAGCAGTTTAGGAAGTGAAGAAAAAAGCAAACTCCTTGCAGCTATAGAACAGGCAGCAGCTTTTATAACTACTATGATATTTCAAGATGGTTCTTCACAGCTCAACTCAGAGCAGGTTAGTGAAGGATGGGTTTTATTTAGTCACTTCTGTAGAACCATTTGAGTCTGCATGTGAGTGATAATCACAAACCCATGTTCATTGGCAACACTTTTGTGAATGACATACCAAAAATTACGTTTTACATTACATTTTATTTTCAACTACCAGGTAAAACTTAGAGAAAATGAAACCACTAGGATTTTTGTTTCAAGGCTGAAACATTTGCATGCTCCTCTTGCATGTGTCAATGGTGTATGCAGTAACTGTAGTGTACAAAATAGGTTTCATATTGTAAAATATTGGGAATTTTTCTTTATAGGACTGCACAAAATCTGTCAGAGGAAACTCTATTGTAATTATGTTTAACAGGCCCCTACCTTATCAGTAAAAGGAGTTGTTGTGCTGGTGAAGAATCAGACTGATCAGCCTTGCTCTCCAGGTCACACTTCAGCTGGCTATACTTGGAATGCTGCAAATGAAAATGATAAACTAATTTATTTAAAAACTGAACAGTCATCTCTCTGGGAACGAGAACCGGCTCACAAGAAATTTTCTTGGTGAGAGCATGAAGGAAAGAATACTCTTTTGCTTTACAAATGCTTTCAGCAGTAATGGTGTTGGTTACTTAGCACAGGCCTGATCTTTACCTGTCAGTCTCATTGAATTTCATTTTGGCTGTGTTAGTTCTGTATCAAGTCTGGGCTAAGAGAAACCAAATAACAATAGACTATTCCTATGGGCTCAGCATGTCACTGACTGCAGTCCTTTAAGAATTAGGTTGGGATTCTGGTAGGAGCTGTTTACATTCACCTGCAAATCCTTTATGAGCTGTTAAAGCTGGACAGCACGAAAGAATATGTTTTGTCCAAGTTATCTTTCTTGTATTTTATCTTCCATTTCATGAACTGCATTTCTTAACTAGTACGGTTTTGATGGACATTATTCCTTTCTGAGCTTTATTAATGCTTTAAATTTTTTTAGTACAGTTTTTTTTAAATGGCTTTTGACATTCCAGGTGAAATTTTACTAATATTCAGTAATAATACAATATAATTTTGGAAGTAAAGGCTTTATGTATCTGCTTAATACTTATACTAAATTTTAATAAAAATTTGGACTATGTTTTAAACTTCCAGTTATTATAATCAAAGTCCATTTTTATTCCTATTACCTTGAAAATCATAACCCAAAAAGGGAAAAATGAGAACTGAATCTGATTCCTAGGTGTAATACTCTAGCATGTTAAAACTCCATCAGAATATTTTATGACTTTCAATAATTGCTGTTTTATTGTAAACTGCTGAATTTGGATTATTAAATTACAAATCATTAATTTCAAGATGCAGGACTTGGTTCTTAGCTGTATCTCTTCCACAGCTTGAAATCATGGCTTGAAACAAGTCATGGCTTTGCTTCTTCAGCTGAAATATTGGAGTTACATGACAAGTACTTTAATAACATGTTGTCAGCTTGAATATAGATTGTTGGGAACTGAGAATAACATATCAGTAAAGCATGTACACATGAACAGTAAAAATTTGATAAGCTGATTAAGAGTATTAGCATTTAGTTGAAACCTATGGGTAATTACTTATAATAAGAATGGTGTGATTGTTTAAAAATGGATCTATAGTGCATACAGCAATACCTTGTGATCTGTGTGATTTCTAATGTGTCCAAACTCTGGAGTTGTGGTCTCATACCATTAAAAATGCTTTATAAAAACTATTATTTTTCTATATTGCCCAAAATATAACTTACTAAAACAAATGACACACATAGTTGGTAAATCTATACACTAATATTTATTTAGTTGGTTATATCTATTTAAAATATCATGAATGAAGCAATTATAGATATTTTCAAGAGGTATGGAAATACATGACAAAGATGAAGCATTTTGGATTTAAACAGCATATTAACACAGGGCAGTTATGGCAATTTAGATTGTCTAGTAACTTTAAAATCAGTGTTTTATAATGCTACGTCAGTTTAGCCTCTGTGATCTTATTTGGGTATATTGGAGTATTACAGGGATGCCAGCTGATGTTTTGGATTGAGGTTGCACTTCAAGAGTTAAACAAGGATTTGTTTTCTTTATGTGCATGTGGTAAGGCATATCTGCTAGGATGTTTTAATTTCTCATAGAACATAGCTTTGAGGATTACTGAATTGATAATTTCATATTCAAATGCAGTATTCTGTTCTTATAGGAATAAGGAAATGTCTTGGGTTAACTGTTTAGTATTAGGTGCTAATTAAAAGAACAAAGTAAATAGATTGACTAAATCTAGGAGCAGTATAGTGTGTGTTAATGAGCTACTTCTGTGCAGGCAAGTGTTGTTCCAAATGCTGCAGTGCAAAGTTCCAATAATTTGCTTCAATGCAAAAGATTTCCTGAGGACTCTACTTCAAATTTATGATAATGAAATCAGCTGGAAACAAGGCAAGTATTGAATCTATGATCTCATCCTGTAATCTCTGTGCCACTGGTGTTTCTGTTAAAATCACTGAGTGTAGAAATAACTACATTTAGTAAGCAATATATTACTTCCTAAATTAAGTAATATATTGAAAAACAGAGTTTAGTACCATACAAAAGAACACCTTTCTTGGAGGAGGTCATGGCCAGAGGTCTGGCATGTCAAGCCTCATGTATTCTTCTCAGAGTAGGAATTAAATCATTGACTTAAGGATAGCTTCCAGTGGAAACAAAAGCTCTCAACACAGTCCTGACTATAGCTGAAAAGGTGAAACTACTTCATGTTTCATATTCCTTAGGAAAAAACTTCCTAGGAAAATGCTAAAAGCAAGGGCTGAAATAAATCTGAGATGCTCATAGTTGTCAGAATTAGGAATCACTTGAATGGGCCCATGTTCCTTTGATAGAAACAAGTAAGACTCTTCTCTTTGGATTTAAGAGCAATTGCTAACAACAAGCATAAGATGTAAATATAATGTCTTTTTTTGTTTTTTGGGGGGATTTTTTTTGGTTTTTTTTTTTTGGTTCCATATATCAAATTGTTGAGGTGTTAGGGCATGGGTTGGGCTCAATGGTTTTTAAGGTCTCTTCCAACCTAGTCATTCTGTGAATTCTGTGAAATTACTGCTGCGTGAATTACAAAAGTACATGTGACCTTTCAGTAAGGGTTGTCTCTATGGAGAATGATCAGCTTGTGTTCAGCATCTGAAAAGTTTCAGTAAATGACAGTGAGGATCTGTACAAAATCCAGCACTGGGAATGGGAAAAGTGGGAAAAGAAATGCTGTAAAGGGACTGGCAATAGTGACAGTATGTAACTTGTACACACAGGAAGAATTTGGTACTGTGATGCAATTAATGGGATTTGAATCTGAAGTTTCTAGTAACCAAACCAATTCTTGTTTAGGCTTTTAAACTTGGAAACTTCATGCTTCCTCATGCATTATTTCTGCTATGAAAAAAACAAGCACACAAAGCTCCAACAAAACAAACAAAATCCCTAAAATTCTCTTTAGAGTAGTCCTGTAGCTGTGACTTGCATTATGGACATTAAAGTTTGCTTCCAGGTAACTGAGTCTGCAAGGTTGTGTAGCATGGAGTTCTCTAGAAATGTACCTGTAGGTCATGGTTTGAACTTACTTAGGGGTTACTGAAGAGGTTAATTAGGTTTATCTTTGAATATATCACAAAGCAGCCTAGTTATTAGTTTCTCCTGTTCTTGGCAGAAGTGCAGGAGGCATGTTGAGATTGTAGTTCAAAGGAAAGTGAAACAGCACTGGGCTTGGCCCATCCTATCCATCTGTGTGAACATGAGGGTGCAGTGTAAGCACACATGATGTTAAAGGACAAAAGGTTCTGAGTTTTGGCAACAGTGCATTGTGCACCCATATGTGAATTCATATATACATTAACAATTGCTAGGAAGTAAATCTCTCCCTGATCCCCAACAGCAATTTTGTGGGTATCAGTCTAGTTAACAACAATAAGAAAACTGTACCAGAGGGAGACTCTCATAAAAAAACCCTTCAGCTTGAAGTTTTCAGTTCTAAGAAAGGAAGGTTTTTACAGTTAATCTAAGGAGCCAAAAGTTTACTTATAATTGAAAACTTGAAAAAAATCAACCAACCAAAAAATCTACCCCAACCTCATGAAACAACACTCTTCAAAAATGTGCGATAGTACACTTCCTCCTGTGTAGTCATGTTATTGACCATGTGTTACAGCTGTGAATTCAATGTTTGATATTTTTGTAGAGTAAATATTGTCCTTTTATGATGTGTGTGTGCAGGAAAGATGGGCAAAACTTTAAAGCTGTTTTTCAGTATGGGAGGTATTTTCAATATTTTGAATAACTTGTTTTTGTAGTTGCCAATAGTGTCGTGTTAGATCCAAGGATTGCAGCATGGCTGATAAACCCCAGTGACACAGTTCCTTCCTTTGAGTGTTTAATACAGAAGTATTTTGAAAAGCCTTTTTCAAAGGGAGCAGAGAATACAGATACAGGCACTTCAGGCACTTTGAGAAATGTATCTGTAAGTAGTTTGTTTTCAATTGTTTGGGTTAAAAAGGGAAGGAAATGATAATAGAATTACTTTTGCTTAGAAGATATTGCAAAAGAAGATAGATAATAGATGGATTTTCTAATGGAAGATTTTATAATGGAAAAAATATTCTATTAATGTGACATGTTGGAAATTGAAAGAAAGGGGAGAAGGCGAGGTTTTATTGCATCTACCAAGATGGGAGCTCATTTTCTAGGAACAGCTGTAAAGTTTTACTTTACAACTGTAAAGTTCAGTAACAACATTAATTAATATGGAGTTTTATATTTTTTCTCTTCACTATCCTGAGAAATAATTTCCAACTCTCCTTTCCAAAATATCTAATGCTATGTTTGTTGTCCAGTTCCTGTGCACTTGTAGCCTGTATTTAGTTGATTGTTATTAACAATTTTGCTAAATTTCTCAGCTGGTACACACCACATCATAGGCTGACAAACAGCAGGGAGTCAAATGTGAACCTTCAAGCATTTGTATGAAAAAATCTGTGAATTTTAATTCTCAGTGTGAGAGAATTCATGATGAAATTTTTGAGATGTTATCCCCTGCACTATGGAAATTCCTTTGTCATAGCAAATGTCCCCTGTATTTCTACTGAAATGTATTGCCTGAATGCTATAAAATATTTGTACCTCTTTTGGGCAGTGGGGATCTACTGTGGACATATTAGCTGTCAGAGGTTGTTTGAAGGATATGATGATGTAGAACAACCTAAATAATGTTGTCTTTTCTGCCATTCACTTTTCAGAGGCCTTGCTCATTCAGACCAAGTGTTGTACCATGATTGTAGGACTTGTAGGATACAAATCCACAGATGCCAAGAGGGCTTGGAGCATAGACAGGGGGTGGTTATGCTGGCACTTACCCATCAGTGTAGACATTTCTGAGAAAAGCAGAGGCAGTTTACTTGAAAGCACTGGCTGTAAACTGCAGTTCTTCAGAAGCTACTTCATGAATTAAATTATTAGTGTGGGAATAGACAAGCAAATAGACAGAAGTTACCTATGGTTCTTTTATGTGTGATGGCCTTGCTGTGAGTCAGCATCCTTAATCTTGTCTCTTCCCTTAGCTTGACTTAGTCTTTTGTTCTTCAGATGTCACATCTGTTCTTAGTTATTTTTCAACTTTGTTATCCTGATTTCCAGCTCTGTGTTAAATATTGAAATTTTATTTCCTTCCTGTCCTGCTTCAGGTCTAGTTTGTTTCCTCGCCACAGCCATCTCCAGTGACTTGTTCACTCAATTCCCAGTTAATGTCTCCTTGTGACATCCTGTGACTATTCCCCCCCACCATTCCTTATTCCTTAATTTGTCACCTGCCCTCTCACACTTCCTTTTTGGCTTCTCTCTCTTTGCTCAGTGAGTTCCAGTTCTTCCTGTGTCTCCTGGTTCTTTGCCAGGTTTATCTCTTCAATCTTCTTGCTCTGTTTTTACTGGTAGATTCCCAACAGTTGTCCATACTGCCAGAGGGATCTGTGGTAAGTGATAAATCATCTTGTGCCTCACTGCTTCAGTGCAGCTCCCTGTCTTGTGCTAGTCTTGTCCACCCACCACAGTTCTTGGAATGACTGCTGGTTTGTTCTGTAGCCCACAGCTCACCCACACACCTCTAGCACAAGGATGTGCTGCTTGCTGCTTGTCTGTGTATTTGGTGCTGTGCCAAAGTGCTCATGGTCCACACTCCTGAAACATTTGCTGGAGCAGGTGCTAAGCATTATGCTGGTCTTGTCATTGCTGCAATTACTGATGAAGAATTTTGGTGTCAGTTGAAGCCTGTCACTGGGCTCTCTTCCACCTCCAGGAAGGCATCAAGCAAGCTGTTTGTATTTCACAGACAGCTCACTTGTTCCAGAACAAGTTGGTATGGACAAGGTTTCTCGGAGACAAAATGGTGACTTTTCACTGCAGTATGGACTAGACTGTTTTAGAGCAAGGATCATCACCAATGGATCTGCATATTTCAGTTTTGAAGAGGGCCCTCTGCATTTTGTCTTCCAGGCCTGCTGTTTCTCAGTCTTTATTAAGTTTATTTTTAATGGTCATGTAACTGCAGCTAACAATCTTTCTCAGTATTCGTATACATTTCAAATGGCATTCTAGCCAATTGAAGGAGGTGACCTGGTGTTGTGTGGAACACCTCTGGAACAGAAAGGAAGGAAATGAACAGTTCTGGCACAAGAGTGGCAGTACTTATGTGAGAAAAAGAATGCAAGGAGTTTTTCCTCATTTTACAAGTAGTAAGGGAACTCTGACTTCAGTGTCAAAGGCAGTTTATCGATACTATATTTCTCTGTACTTGATGCAAAATGTAAGTACAGGAACAGGCAAAATCTGCAATGTTCATAATCTAGTGCTGTGTTAATGATTTGGGTTTCACAGAGATCATGTTTCTGAAATTTTAACAGAAGGTAAACAGAAAATCACATTTTTACAATTTATGCCTTTTAAAGAAGTTATATTGCCAAAATATTTAGTGTATTGTTAGCAACAAAGTTACTGATATATTTTTGATTTATTTATGTCAGTATCAAAACTTAGGTGTGAACTTGGAGAAGCTTTATAACGTAATGATGGACCTTACTCATGGCTTAAAGGTAAGTTGTAAGTAATAACTATGTAAGTATTGAATTAAAGAGAATTAATGATGTATTTCTCATTCAAATGAGAATAATGCAGTGCTTCAGTCCTTCGTGATTTACATTGGCAGTCAACATTTAAAATAAATTGCCCATCAAATTTGCTATTTTTTCTAGAAGGAGAGGGTGTCAAGGTTAATGTTTAGGAGAAAATTTTCATCTGCTACATTTAACTAAATGAAGATTCTGAGAACAGGAAAGGTTCAGAATATTGACTTGTCTTTGAATATTTTAAATCTATATATTACTGTTTAAAAAGTGTTAAAAGAAATAGAACATATATTGTTCTATATATGTATTCCTTGCTTATGAAAACTCAGCATATCTTTTGTTGTAGGTTGTGTTAACCAAGCACTGTTCACATGCTGGACAGGCTGCCCAGAGAGGTGGTTGATGGCCCAGCCTGTCAGTGTTTGAGAGGCAACTGGACAGTGCCCTTATCATGTTCTTTAAATTTTAGTCAGCCCTGAATTGACCAGGCAATGTGACTAGATAGTCATTGCAGGTCCCTTCCAAATGAACTATTTTATTCTATTTTATCTCTTATTGCAGTTCAGAATGCTTCTCAAGAAATCTGTTGGGGTGTGTGTGTTTTCTGCCTGTGATCATATACCTGGAAAAGTGCCAGTGTACAGGATACACCACGTTCTGCTAGAAGGGGCATTACTGTTTCCTAGGGATTGCTTTTGAAGTTGCTGGTTGCAGGGGTAGGGCTTGGACCACGAGGTGGTGGAGCCATGTTAATGTGGATATCAGCAGTGTGGTGAGCAAACCATGGAGGGAGGCAGCAGGGAAGCACCAAAGGCACAGAAACACTGAGCCTGAGCCCACAAGAGTTTTTAGACAAGTCAGGTGGTTTCAGTGGTTAAAAAAACACCAGACTTTCTGTTCTCAGTAAGTAATTTGGGGACATGACCCTTTTAACTCTTATTTTCCCCCTAATGAAGACAAAGTTATGAATTATGAATGGTTACCTAATCGTTCAAGTGAACAAAGGAAAAAGTATAACTGTGTGTCCTGTTGTAATGAAGCTTGCTTTAAAACTAAACTGTTTGGAAAAAAGGAGATATATATATATATATAGATATATTTCTTTATTAGCATTCTTGTACAAAATAGTTACAAAATATTGCAGAATTCCTATTCCCCACAAAGAGAACTGACAGCATTTAGAAACTATAATTTACACTAAGTAGTATTTCATGCCACAGACACATGTTGTCATGTAAAAAGGGAATGTACAGAAAGTGAAATACTGCTCACTGGGAAATACTGAAGAATGTATTTATAACTTACTTTACAGGCTCAAGGTTTGTGGAACTTATTTTGCACATTAGAGCTTCCACTTATCAAAATTCTGGCAGGTATGAAAAGTTCAATTCAAAATATGAATCTTCACTATTTTCACACAGCTGCTGACTATGCTCAAGTGGAATGTAATTCCTCTGAATATGAAGTGTTATCTTAGCCTCATAACAGCTGTGTGAGCTTGAGTTTCCATTTTATAGTCTAAGAAAAATGTAAGATTGAAATTGTGAATTATAAATGTTCTTAACCTAAAATTGTATTTACAGTGATGGAAACACACAAAATATATGTGAACAAACAAGAACTGAAAAAAACATCAGAGATTCTAGGGGTAAATTTTGTATTAATTTTTTTTCTTGAAAATGACATAGCATCATCTTTGTGCTTTTACTGAGGATAACTGATTAAAAAGAGAAGGAACTTCTGTCACATTTTATGTAATAGTGTGATGTTTTTAGTATATCATAATAAATGATTATATTTACATTTTAGGATACTTCCCTGTTTATTTGCGCAAGTGAAAGACACGTTTGAGTCATCAGCCTTGTCCCAGAACTGAAATTGCATTACAAAATGCACGGGTCCTTTTGGGTTATGTGTTGTAGAGTAAAAATGGTAATGACTCTTTCTGAACTTACAGTTTTCAGTACCCATTTTCCTGAGAAGTCATAGACTCCTCTCCCTCTTTTTGTGAACAATGCACTCTTTAAATGAGTGTTCTTTGATAAAAATAGCTGCAAGAGGATCCTATTTTGTAACGTAAAATTTGACTAGATAATCATACTGGTCTGACAGATTACTAATTTATCAGAATAATTTGCATAGCTGTGTTTCTCACAGATCTCTGTAGGCTTCAGTAACCAAAATTCTTTAACCAGAAATGTTGGTACTACTTACTACAATAAATCCACTTCCCAAATCATAAAACAATATAAATTAAGGAGTGTTTAAGCAATCTGCTCAAACAAATGTTGATAGCCAGCCATGATTACACAATATCAAGTACTCCATTTTAAATAAAGGTCCAATATTCTCATGAACCTTGGAAGCAGCAGATATTGAAGAAAATAATAGTGCAAGCAGAATAATTTTGATGTCATTTATAGCTGCGGCTCAAAGAGCTTGAACAGGAGGCTCATGAGGCTGCTGGAGAACGATTCCTTCTGACCAGCAGCTGTCAGCTCCGAGAGGTATCATTTGTTCTACTGTTTCTGCTTAAGGTGTATGTTCTACAGATTTATTGATACAGGTGAACTGTAAGCAGATATATCCTTACCGCTTCTGACTTATTCTATATTAATTATTTTCTGGTTTTAATGAAGGGCGTATAATTTTTTTCATAATTGTGACAATGTTGAATAATCTGTATTTGAATGTATGTGCATAAATTATGCTCTTTTTTTAGTAAATATGTCAATATTTTTTTGAGCTTCAATAGCTCAAAAATAAAGATTTTCAATTCTGTATTAGTTCTCTTTGCTACAGTATGCTCTATTTACCTTGTAACCTGTTTCTGTTTAAGTTTACGCACCCAATAATTTTCCTTTCTATTTCAGCACTTGAACCACTGAAAGATTTATTGTCTTTTTCTTACCTTAGGTACTATTTGATAAGTTAAAGCTGCATACGCTGTGTGAGAAACTTCAGAGAACTGAAATACAACAGCTCGTATCCACCTCAGAAGTTGTGGTGAGACAGGGAAGGGTTTTAAAACCAGCTGCATGATTTAGCAAAACTTTTAAGTTATATTTCAGCCCGTTCAGCCTGTCCAGATACCTGTGCTGAGCCTTCCTGCCCTCCAGCAGATCAGCTCTTCCATCCAATTTGGTGTCATATGCAAACTGACTGAGGGTGCTCTCGATACCCTTGTCAGATCATTAAAAAATCATTTTGTGAAGATAATAATAGCAATGGAGATTCTTCTTAGAAGAGAAAAAGCCTCTGTGCAGCTGCACCTGTTTCTGATTTGGTGCCACGATTGAATTGCTCTAGGTTATATAGGAGTTAAAGTGCACAATTCACTGCTGAACATGAACATATTTGGGGAAGGTAGAAGGGTAATATTTATTCCTTAAGAAAGAAATTCCACTTTCAGTTCCACATTCAGTCAAGTGTCTGAACTACCAAATATGATCTCCAGTAACCTCAACAGTATAACCATAAAACCCACACATTACTCAGGGAGAAGGAGGTTTCATAGATCAGCCATGTAACCTTGGAGGGTGACAGAGAGCCTTGGGAAGTGAGAAGCATCAGTGAAATAGAATTCACGTCACCTTTTTGTGGGAACACAGAATTTGTAGCTGTAATCAAAGCAATGCTTTTATGTAGTCCAGTATTCTCTTTCCAACTGCTGAGACTTGGTTATTTGGAGAAAGGTAGGATGAAACCTTGCAGGAGATGAATAGTAGACAATAAATCTGACGATGTTAGTTTCTCCTTCGTAGCAAGAAAAAACCCTTATGTTTTAAATATAAATTTTAGTACAGTTGCATCTGTTTTTCATCCTGGACTATTGTAGTTCCAGGAATTTTTTGTTGTACTTATAAATATCCAATCTCTATTTTAATAATTTGTTTTTCTCAACAGAATTTTTGGCAGTTTCCAATCAAAGTAATCAGAAATATGCTTTATTTTATTGTTTTTTAATTTGAATTTCTCTTGACGTTTTCCTGGAGCTTTTATTAAGGCATGAAGAGGAGAAATTCTCCTCTTGGATTGTGTATATAAATATGTGCATGTGTATATATGTATTATTTTGTCTATTTCCATCATGTTCTTTCTTGCACTGGTGCTGTATAGCACAAAAACCAAACAAAGGGCCATAAATAGTACACACACATCTCACCCCAGTGTTTTCAAAGTTGCTGTGGGAAAGTTTTTATGTCTATGTGTCTTTTTATTCCTGTGTGGGACAGGAGTGAAAATAAAATGGGAAGGAAAAATTCCCATCCTTCCTAATGAAGGCTTCCTTGGGGCTGGGATTGCTTGAATGATATCATCCTTCTGCCAATATTTTGTCCATTCAGCTTGTTAGGAAAATTTCTTCCTCCAAAATGTATTCTGTTAAAGTTTGTTTAATAATAAAACTTCAAGAAAAGTATGTCAGTAATTCCCATTCTTGATTTTGCAGCTAAATAAATTGCAAGATCTTCATCCCTTGCCTAAGATAATTTTAGAATACCGCCAGGTGAGCTGATACTTTTTCACAGAATCTAGTTGCATTAAAGCAAAATTTAGCAAGACAGAAAAATATTTATAGTTAAATAAGTAAATAAGTCAACTAGCAAAAGCTCATTCCAATACTAATTTGAAGTCAGTATCCTTAAGACTTTTTTTAATTTTAATGCTTATTGTTGTTTTGCTCTATCTTTGATTTTAGCTACCAAACAACTTGTACAACGTTACAAAGACAATTGGAAAACATCAGTGTTAAATTTGTGTAGTGCTGTAAAGCATACTTAGGGCAAAATGTTTGTTTTTTGAGTTCTAAAGAAATGCTTTGCATAAAGTGAAAGAGATAGCTGTTTATGGGGAATTTTGGGCTGACAAGCCTCCTGAAAATCCTAAACTATCTAGTTAGTCTGCTCCCATGCTTAATCATTGTTTCCAGTGAATGAGCTTCCAAGAATTAAAAAAAAAAATAAAAGTTTAAAAGTTTGTGGGTTTGTTTTTGGTTTTGATTTTCTTTTAAATTTGTTTGTGGTTTTTTGTGTGTGTTTTTCATGTAATCTATTGACCTGGGGACATAAGATATAAAATAATAAATTTCAATAATTGATTTAATAGTATTTACAAAGCTCTGTCTTTAGGTTATGACCAAGCATTTACCTAACTCACAGGAATTGGTTAAGCTGTCAGTGAGTACAAATCCATTATTTATTTGGATAAAACTGTCTTTAAAAAAGAAAAGTCTGCAAGCAGGATGCATTTGGAAATTAGGATCTTTAATTTGAAAAATCCCTTTTTTTATAAGTAAACATTTATCTTAGAGTTTATGTATTTTAGGTTCATAAGATGAAATCAACTTATGTGGATGGACTACGAGCGTGCATGAAAAAGGTAGAAATATATAAAGTAGCTTGTAAAATCCTAAAAATATGTGAAATGATTGCAGTGTTTACAGTTTAAGAACTTTTATACATGGAAAATTTAACAGTATTTCTTTTGTATTTTCTTGTTCTGATTGCAGTGAATTTTTATTACTGATACTTATATCAAATAAAATATAGTTCTTTGTCTTCATTTTTTATTTTTTTTGTTTATTACTTTATCTGATTACAGGGTTTCATTTCCTCCACTTGGAATCAAACAGGAACTGTGACTGGCAGACTTTCAGCCAAACATCCTGTAAGTGAGGTTATTGGAAGATTTGCATTTTGATTGAAATGAAAAATTAATATTACTTGTACAAAATATGTAATATTTTTAACACAAGAAATGTTTGTTTTCATGCAAGTCTAGCAGTTACTGTATTGTGTCTAAATGGTGGACAGAAAAAGCTTATTAAATGGGTGGTTTACTGTGGGGCATCTGTTCTTAGGCATATTTTGTGGTATGTGTGATTAGAATTAGCATTGCAACCTGAAGGAGAGGAGTACAATTGTGAGCAATGGATGTACCTTGGACACTTCCTTGTCATGAATTCTGGTGTTCATGAAGCACTCCTTGTAAAGCATCAGTGGGCCCTGGAAAGTGGGTATTACAGAAAGAAAAGGAAGCTCTCTTCTTCTGGAATTTGGCTTCAGGCTTCATAGCAGCAAAGGGCTCAGCTGGCAGTGCTGGTGCTCTGCAAGTCTTGCTTGTATGGCTGTGACACATGGGCTCTTTGTGCTTCCTCTCTTGTCTGTGATGATCTCCATGTACATGCCTGAAACATGTTTTATTTGACTTTATGGACTGCTACAGGCTTAGGTTACTTTTTTGTTTTCTTGGTTTTTTTCCCTTTCCACAAAGTGGCCTTTCAAGGGCTTACTTGAATGTGTTCTATGATCCCATTTCTCTTGATGTTTATGACACCCACTGACCATTTGCTGTAGGTCAAAGGCCTTTGTGTTCCTCTCTTGTCACTGCCCATGGCTGCATGGATGAGAGTGCAGGAGGTGGAGTGGGACAAGATGGGGCTGCAGAGCTCCAGGGGCTCGAGGAGTAGGTGAGAGAACAGCAGAAGAAAAGTAGTGACTGTCCTTCTGGGGAAAGTTTCTGTTAGGTCTAACCATGGTCTTTTCTGCCAAAGACCTGCCTTCTGGCCCTGTGGGTGACTGGGGACAGATGCAGAGATGGGACTGTCCACAAAGGCTAGAGGCAACCTGTGAGGCTGTTATCTTTTTAACTTGTGCCCCAAAGTATTGTCACTTCTTATCCATGCAGATTTGGGTTCTGCTTATCTCTCTGCAGGACCCAACCTTAAGCTTCATGAGCACAAATGGGATTAGGAGGTTTCTGCAGGCTTGGAGAAAGGCCATGATGTTCCACAGCTCTTTGTGGGAGCAGAGATTTAACTTTAACAGTTGTGAGCACTTTGCATGGATGGGCTGCTGTGGTTCCTGGCAAGTCCTGCCTGGAATGGTGACTTTGGGTTTCTGACAGAAACCTGTCCTGGGAGGTTCTCACCCTCACCACACTTGGTGACTTCCTTAGCTTTTCTTTCACCTGTCTTCACAGTTCATGTTTCATTTGCATCTTCCTACCCTCATGCTACATATTTCCATGCAATTTGTCATCAAACAATTTATAGGAAGTGCTTATGCTTTTTGCTGAGTAAAAATCAGTGTTTAGGATTCTGAATTAACAACAGAACGGGGAAGTGTTACTGCTGCTGTCATTTCTCATGCACCCAGGTGGAAAAACTGAGAGGAAAAGATGATCATGAAGGTCACAGTTTGCTGAATTCTCTGGAGTGAAGCACAGGCATTTCCAAGTCAGAGCTGAACAGACAGCTGTCTTGAAAAACCACATACAACACAAAGTGACCTTTGGCCTATCATAGTAAAAAGGACATGAAATCTATTTTTCTTAAAAGGGGTTTTTGTTCAAAATAATGCTGCTAAAGTTAGCATCCAGGGTTGCCTAAGGCTGGCTTTTCCTTCTAAGGAAAAACATTGGCATGGCTTTTTTTGTTTGAAATATTTATGGAACTTATACCATCTGTTTCTGAATCATTTATTGATATGGAAGATATACTGCAGTGCCCAGTCACTTTGCTAAGTGTTAAAGGATTGGGAAGATTCTTGCCAGAAATCATAAATATTGGAGATATTTTAGTGGTTACTATGATATTATGTCAAATTTTAGCTGAATTTTTTGCTGAGGCAGTTTATTTTTAACTGTTTTAAAATGCTTTAACAAGTGATTAAAGCAAAAGATAAGTGTGAATCACATTCTTTGACAATTCAAATGGAAAAACATCCCATATTCTGCAGTGCTTCTGAGAGATTGGATTCCAAGCAGAGATTTCTTTATCTTTCTTTTGTTTTGTAAAGAGGATGGATTTATCTGTCCTCTGTCCTTGAAGGCATTTAATGGAGTCCAGGAGAGATTTACTTGTAGGTTTGAGGGGAAATGACTAGACATTGGATACAGAGCTGAATTTCTTTTTCAGATAAACTCTGTCATCTTCTTTCAGACAGTTCCTCATTTGATGATGTATATTTTTGGCTTTATGTGGGTTTTTCTCAATAGATAAGTTTATTCACATGAATTTTTATGACTTTTGTGTTGTAACAACTTAGAGGGGGTTTCTTAGCAGCACTTTACTTCAGTGGCTCTCCATGTGTTCATCTATTTTAGTTTAACTTTACACTTCATTTCTTCTCATTTGGTTTCTTCCTGTACAGAATGTGTTCTGTATAAATCATGTGTTTTTCACACATAACTGTTAATGTATTTTTGCTAAACAATAACATGTATTATTGCATTTGATCTTGCAGTCTCCTGTTATTGCATTGTAGATGTCTATTTGCTACTATTGGAAAACTTGAGTATCTGAAACCTAAAAGTAATTGTAAACTCTACAAAATATTTTATAATGTATCCACGTGCCAGTTTATTGGGCTTTTTTCTCTATGATGGATTGCTTATGACTGTTAGGAGAATTTAATTAGGTTTATTATTTGAATGTGTTATTTTCAATTTGTTTTTGTATAAATGCATTAGCCTTGTCTACATTAGGATGCTTTTTAATTATATTACTCATAGATAACTTTTCTATTATATATATTTATGACATTCATAAAAGCTTATGTTCTCCAAAGCCACCTGGAAATATCTCTTTTTAGTCTCTCATAGTTTAAAGCAGAAATAAATCAAGACACAAATGGAAAAGCATAAACCCAATTAAGATCAAGCCCCTTTCAGAATGAAAAGAGAGAAATCCCAACTTGAGATATAAAGATTGCATAAAATTAGATGTTATAATTTGGTTTGAGATGTAAATTTCAGTGCTAGAATCAGATATTCTGTATTAAGGTTTTTTCCTCCAGGCTTCTGCAGTAGAGAGAACTGAAATGCTGCTAATGAGTTTATGCTTCTCTACTTCAGAAGATGTTTGTATCATTAAATTGAAAAGCACAAAGTGGTGGGCTTCAGGGAGCATTTCCTTCCTTTTAGTAGCAAAAAGTTATACTGAAGATAAAAAATTTTCACCTTCTTGAAGAAAGTGAAAAAAAAAAGTACTCCTGCTTTTCCTCAGGAAAAATGCTTTTATAGCTTGTCCAAGAAGGCAAAGAAATAATATAAACCATCAGTCAAAGAAACATGTTAGCCTATAATTTGGAAATCAGGAATGTAATTTGACAGGGAAGCTAATTAGGGCATATTAAATGTTAACATGCTTAAGGAAGGATCATAAAGAACCTGAAATATTGCATACATCTCAATCTCTTCCACAGATATAAGATTTTCTGGTGGTGAATGCACAATAGAGAATTGCATGCTTGTTTATTAGAAAATGAGTGTTGCAAGCAGTGTTTGGAATATGAATAATGAATTTAGCATCTGGTTTTCATTCTAAGGGGAGAGACTCCCTTGAAGTAGAGGCCCCTCTGAGCAATTGCCATCCAAAATGAGTCTGTTCTCTCAATTAACTTAGCAAACCAGTATTTCTGATTAGCCATACTGTATCTGTGTTATTTCCCCTCTGGGCTGTTTTTTTTTTTTGAGTGAACATTTTTTTAATTTTCTCTGAGATAAAATGGAAATGTGGTTTTGGCATAGTTTTGGGATTCTGGACAGTGTGGATGGGATGCTGCTTGTTTGTCTCCCTTTTGTAGCAGAATCCCAATAGGTTTTCCATTTTGGCATCCCCACATGTGCACTCCTGGCAGGGTGGTCTGACAGAATTGTGCTACCAAAGTTGTTGTGGCAGCTCCAAATTTCAGGCATTTTGTCCAAGGCCTTAGTAAGGCTGCAGGCTGATGTGTGCTACTATAAATATTCTTTTTGGAAGTTTGAAGTCTGTGGTCACAATTGGATTCCAGCAGAAACAGGATATTCTGCAAGGTGTTCCAACAGTGATGGGATTCTGCACTGTCTTGTTTTATCCTTGCCCCTTTCTTTCACAGCTTTTAGGAGGTTTGGCAGAGGCTGGTGCAATGTGAGGAATCAGACACCAAGACTGGGAGCAGGAATGTGCTTACATTTTCCTTTTTTTGTTTAACCTCTTCCCCAGAATGAGCCAAGGCCTTGCCTGCTTTTGAAACTGCCCTGATAGGAATAAGATTTTTGTAAACTTGCTTTCCAAAACATTTGCTTTCCAAATATACTGTCCAACTGAGAAGATTATTTACGTAAAATGAAGAAATTATATGGACCTTACCTTTTCATTGATCTTGGAGTGTGTTTTCTATTTTTTTTAAAAGTATGTTTATTGGAAAGCACTGGGGATAGAGACATGTCAGACACATTACAGGTTCATATAAGATATCTTGTCTAACGCTTCTATAATGTCATCTAGGCTAACAAAATCAGTTTTTGCTAAGAATTCCCTAATGTGGGCTTTGCTTATAACAAGGGTGGGTTGTCTCAGCAGATATGAGAATGTGTCTGTGCTTTCTTGGGCTTTTCAACTAAAGCAATTTAATGTTGTGTTTTCTGGTCAGCACAAACCCCTGTCACTCAGATGAGCTGATGTGCTGTTAGAGAAAGCCAGAGTGTGCTTGCTGGTTGTTGTGGTTGATTGGTGTTTGCATTCAGAGCATATTTTTGTGCCTTATTTCTTTTCAGTATGCTTATTCCAATACTCTTGAGTCATATGGTGGTTATTACTGCACTAATAGCACTAAAATAGTATCTCATTTTATGAGTAGAGTTTTGTTTTTATAGCTGCTTTTGTTGTTGCTTCATTTTTTTAA